CAGCGTGGGGGAAATAAACCACCTAAAGTTACAAAAAGGACACATGTGTGCGTATGAGCGGGGAGGCAGCAAGCATAGCCGCGTTTCTGTTTCAATGAAGCGGTGAAGGTGCGGTACAAGTAAAATCCTTGTAACCCCACCTTCCTACCTAGCCTTCACCCGCCCAATCCTTAAAAAGCTCGCGGCAACCCCGCCCATGCCTACCAACCCAACCGCCCTCCCAACTCCCCAGGCTCCGAAACCAACACATCTCCTTGAAAATCCCCATTAAACCTGCCATCCCATCACCGCGCTCCTCGCGGCACCTCAGGAGGTCTCCACACGCGCCAACCCGGCTCCTGCGCTCCGCGCTCCGAAACCTGCTACTCCCAAAGCCAACCTCCACCCGCACCTGTTTCGTCTGCTGCAGCTCCACCTGTAGCGCCTGAGCAGTGGCGCTGGCCAGCCCCTCCGCGGTGGCCGAGGCGTCCGCGGCGGCGTTGGAGCGGGCCAGGGCGTCCGCAAGCTGCGCGCGAAGAGCCTGTGTGTCGGGACAGTTGGGAGGTCGTACATGCGTTGTACATGCGTTACGTGCAGCTGGCTTCAAGTGCGAAGGGCTCCTCCTACCTAGGAAAGGGTAACGCAACTGCAGGTGTCACTCACGTACACATAGGTGCTGCCAGGTGTGCCAAAATACAGCTCCTATCTCCAGCAACAGCAGCACCATCACTAACAACAACATCTCAACACCACCGCGTCGGGACCGCCTTGCGTTGTGAGCTGCTGCTGTGCGGGTGTCTCTGACCTGCAGCTCCTGCTTGCGCTCCGCATCCTTCGCCGTCGCCCTATTGAGCCTCTCCTCCATCTCCGCCACCGCCCGCTCCTTAGCCGCCACCGCCGCCCTCGCCGCCGCCATCTCCGCCACCGTCAACTCCAACTGCGCATTCACGTTTTGGAGCTGCGACGCCAAACGTTGGATCTCAGACGGATCGGCGGTTGGCACTGCACTGGCGGCGGCTGCGCCGCCGCCACCGCCGCTCCGCGGCTGCGTCCGGGCAGAGCCCGGCGGCTGTGTCGGAGCCGGCGACTTGCTGGCCGCCTGGCCAGCCGCCGCTGCACGTCCCTCCAGCTCGCCAATCTTTGTGGAAATCATCTGCCGCACCTTCTGAAGCTCGTCCGTACGCACCTTGATTATACCATGCATCATATCACGGGAAATTCAGCAGACGTTATCATGTCAGGCATGGGCAGGGCCGGTAACCCGCCAAATGTATTATTACTTTACAGGAGCTGGTAACCGACCAGTCGGCACTTCCCTACTCGGCAAGTGAGGCGGGGCGCGGCGCGGCTCAAAACGAGGAAAGACGTATGGACGCACCTGCACTGTCGGCAAGGTCGGCTTCCCCGTCGGGGTTTTTGCTGGTCCCGCCGTCTTCGCCGGCCCCGGTACCGTACTGCTTCCGCCTGCCGCCGGCGTCGACGGCGCCGAGCTGCCGCCAGCACCGCTCCCACTGCGCTCCTTTCCCTGCTGCACCTGTGGCTGTGGTGGCGGCTGCGGCTGGCCCCTACTCCGCAGCGTTGGTAACTGTGTCGCCGCAATCTCCAGCCTCACCGTCTGCTCAGGTTGGCCCCACGGACATTCCATGATCAGGGCCTTACTTCCCTTGTACGACGAGAACACACGGTTACCGCCGTTCTCCCACTCCACGCTGCGCTCCGGTCCCTCCCCCCGCAAGACCAACAGCTGCGTGGAAGCGGAAGAACACACATTACATTTTCAGCACTGAGGGAATGCAACACAGGAGGCATGTGATATCGTGGGGATGGCCTGGATATGATGAAAAGCTGGGTGGGATGCTGGATGCTGGAAACGGTGGGGGGATAGGGTCGCTATCCACCACCCTGTTTGTTCCCCGTCCTATCCCAACCCGTCCCCTCCTATTTCCCTCCTTGTCCATTTCGGTCCATCTCTACCCATGGGGGGAGGTAACCCGACCCACCGGGGGGCGGGGAAGACGAACCACGAACGAACGAACCACTGGGGGGGGGGGAGCTGGGTAGGTGGGCCTAGGGGTTGTGCCCGAGCAATCCACAGATTGCCTGGTCTTCCGTCCAAGTCGTGTCGTGCCGGAGCAGCACACACAAACCCGCGAGCCCCTGTCCAGCAATTTCATCCCAAGTCCACCACCCAAGCCAACACCCGCACCTTGGCCGCCACGTCAGATTGCAGGTCTAGATCCAGATCCACAGCCCAGCCGCCCACATCAGCCGGCTCCAGAACCGGCGCCCTCCCTGGATCCCATTCACCCAGCTCCCGACAGCTGCCCACGAGCAACAGCCGCTGAGTGACCCACGGGTCTGTGGTCAGCGGTACGGGCGGGTACTCGGGGACCACAATACGGCAGCGTGTCCTACCGCCGCCTGCGGAGGCGCCGCTGCCGTTCTTATGTGACGACGAAGCTGCGTCCGCCGCCTGCACGCTGCTGCTTTCACTCGTGCTACTGCCCGCAGTAGCGCCGTTCACGGACAAAGCTCCTGGTAGGAAGGTTGGGTGGTGGTTATGGCGGTCGCGTGCGGCATGTAAGGCGACTATTTGTTGGTAAAAGGTGGTAGCCCTTTTCCTAGCTTTTAACGTGCGCATCTCTTCTTAACTTCCTTTGCTTCCCCACATGTCTATCATCCTAACTCATAACTTGCATGCACGCCTTCCAAAGCTTCATGACTCCAAGACCTCAAGCGACCATCAGGCTGGGCCCCCGCCACCAGGTCCAGGAAAGACCCCTCCTCCCCTCCGCCTTTCCCTCACCTTTTCCCGTATCCGAAATTCCCCCCCCGCATACCAAAATCCTTTTGCGCGCCATAAAACACACACGCACACACAACGGCGAAGCTCCGTAACTCTCCCCGCGCGCTCTCACCGCGTTCACCGGCATCCTTCACGACAGCTACCGTGCCGCCGATGCCGCCGCCAGGCGTGGATGCCGATGCCGCCGCTGCAGCCAACGACGACGATGCAGCTTCATCGTCGGAAGAAGCCTGGAGCCAAGGCCGGCCATGCCGAATCAGTTCGAAGAGCTACCAAGGATGCAATGAGAGATCGTAAGCAGCGATAATGTGCAGGAAAGACGGCAGGGTAGGAATGCGGTGGTAGCCGCCCAGAGCTAATAAGCGATAACCGACCTCTTTAGAACAATAGCCCCGGGGGGAACCGGAAACGCAGCGATGGCGACCACGTCGTCGCGGCCGCGTGCACGCACGCGCGCGCACAAGCGCATACACACACACAACACACGCACACACACAACACACGCACACATGTGCAATTACCTCCACATGCATTCTAAGAAATTCTCGCTGTTTGCCCCGCGGCCGGTGCTTTTGGATTTGGTTTCAGGAGTTGCGTCGTTGCTGCCACTCGCTTCCATTTCCATACCAGTTTTCGCACTGGGTTTTCGCAACCCAATCCGACAATATGGACATCCATATCGCAAACCCCCTAAGTTGATCTCATTGCGCGCATCTAAACATGTCAGGTGCTGACCTTGGATGCGACTATGCGGGAGGGCGGCGGCATCGACGGGAAGCCGCTTCTGTTTCCGCTTAGCGCGCAAGGCGCCATTGGCAACTGGATTCGGCGGCGGGGTAAGCGTGTGGTTGCACCGGGGCCACCGCGCCATACGGCGCCGCTGCAGCCGAGGGCCCGCATGAACGCCGGGTCGCAGCCGCTGAGCCCCCACGACCGTAGGGGGCACTGTGGTGACCGGGCTGCAAGGGCAAGGGGGAAAGGGGTAGGGGTTTAGGTCGTCACCTTAGTGAAGGTTGGCGCGGAGGAGAGATGAACCGGCCATATGTTTGGACGTCCATGACCATAACTTGCTCCCCGACCGCTTGCGGTATATATGGGCACCACGCTAATGGTGACATGGCAAGAGCCCATGATGACGTGTTTGGGCTGTCTCTATGCAGATAGGGATGAAGAACGGTTAGGAAAGGGCGTTGGCGGCGCGTGGGTTCCAGGGATCCCAGACTGACGCCACCTTAACATTGCTCTAACGATTATGCACAAGGGAAATGCCATCGGGCGGCAAAGGGTTACACCCTGCAAAGCGGGAGGGTGCCCCTGGCAAAGCCTCCGGCGTTCCGGCCACGCAGTACCAACGTCCTCACCGAACATCCGAACGCCCGCTTGCGGAGCAGCGGGGCGCGATGGCAGCAGGATGCCGCAAGCTAAATGAGCACGTCCGATTGCAATATGACCTGCTTGGGGCCTGCATAGAAAGTTTGTCCAGTTTGGCAAAAGCCGAAGTGGGCAGAATGCATTAACAATACACATATTGAACATACAAAGCAAAATTAAAGCGGCATTATAACCATGGCTATTTACATTACCGCACATTACAGGTGGGCAAGTGATAACAGTTGTCAAGCATAATTCTTGGGCCTTGACCCTACCCACATACCTGAGTACTTGATGGTTTGCCATTAAACCGGTAAACACGCAAGCTGTTGTAGATTTTGGAAAGAGTTTTCAATACAGCACTGCATACGCTGGGTACAGGGCTATCCACAGCCGCCCCAGACGTCGAGCCGCAGTCGGTGCCGCCGCTTCACGCAAGCTGCATCCAAGAATATATACCGAGAATACCTACAAAAGCATGAATCATTTGCGGCTTGCCACTTAGGTTCAGCGCCGTGTATTTGAACTACCGTGTCAGGAGACACGGTGCGTGAATCCTAGAGTGACGCACCATCACAGTATCTTGCTTTCAACTTTGTTCAACACTAAACGACATACTCGGCAAAGCTTAGCTGTGTGTTTCTCGCCCGGGGTTGCTCGTCCAGAGAGGAGAGTGTTGGAATGCACCATGTCCACGTTCTTCTTAATTTTTTTACAACTTAGCTGTTGTTTTTCAGCAACGTATCTACATTTTCTTTGTTTGATAGGAGTCGGTACATTTTGCAGTACCTTGTAACTGCGCATTTTTAAATTCCAGGATGCTCCATAACGTTTACCAACGAAAATGAGAGACACTTGTTACCGTGGTGACCCGTCTGTGCCTCATCGGGCTCCTAGCAGCGTCGCGCCGCCTAGCTCGGCCCGTCTCTACCCAGTGAGGGCACCTGCGAGGCCGTCAGTGGCAGCACAGCAACTTGGGCGAGGTGACGTCAGCGTTCATGCTGGTTGCCAGGTGTGTTACGGCTTTGGAAGTTGCAGGGCCGGAATCCACATAGAGGTCGATCCCTTTGATTTGATGCCATCTTTATGGCTCCGCACATCCATAACGGAGATTCCGTTGTTGGATTACGCGGCCCTGTAAGTCCACGCCACTTGCCCTAGAACAGCCCAGCACCCTTTCGGGATGGCCCGTGGACCTTTCCTATCACCTAGGCTAGCTGTCTCCAGACCCTAGCAGGCATGAAAAGTGCGCGTTGCTAGGATCACGCAGCCTTAAGGAATCAAACGGCTGTCGAAAGAACTGGCCCTGCTGAGAATCTTCCTGACGGTTCTTGCATCGGCAGCTGCGTCCATGTCCCATGCCTTGGCTATCGCATGGCACGTCCTGCTAGGTGCCCATCCCCAAGCCCCATCACACTCCGTTATATATCTCTGTAGTGGACAGCGACTGTTCCCGTCTGACGCCTCACGAAAACGGCCGTGCCAGCCACCTCCAGATTTACCTTTCCCAAAGCAAGCTCTCAGCCCCACGCGAACCCGCAAGACAGGAAACCCGCTTCCCACTCATCACCACCGCTCATGGGGATCCTAAACCCAAAGCCGACTTCACACTCCAAACTGCCTTCAAACCCAAATCCCCTTCCGCACCACCGCCGCTGTGGGGCCCTCCGCGTCTGGTTAGGACACCGGGCCACTGACGGTCCTGGCGCCACCGCCCTCCCAGCGCCCGCCGCCCTTGAGACTGCTGCAGCAGCTGCCGCCGAGCTTACCTCCACACCCCCACCTACCGCCATACGGCGCCAGTATACCTGGACCATGCTCTTACATAAACCGCTCCAGCACTGCCGTGCTGCCGGGGCCAGCACATCATCCGCTGGCGCGGCCCAGGGCCCGCTCGGCGGCCGCGGCCGCGGCGGCGGCCCTACCGGACGGCAGCAGCGGCGGTGCTGCCACCTCCTCTACCGCTACTACCGGCAGCGGCAGCCTGCAACAGCAGCAGCAACAACAGTCGGGGCCGGCGGCAGCGGGACCGCAACCGCCGCCTGCTGATTACCAGCTTCCGGCGCACTGGCAGGAGCAAATGGCAAGGGCACCGTTAGGACGGAAGCGTGTACTGCAGAGGTCCGTACCAGGTTTCACCTTCCCTGGGTGGCTGTGTAGCGGTGGTGCAATGGTGGTCTGTGGTGACCGGGGGGAGGGAG